ATATATATATATATATATACACGGATATATATATACATATATATATATATATATATATATATATATATATATATATATATATATATATATATATATATATATATATATATATATATATATATATATATATATATATATATATATATATATATATATATATAGATATATATATATATATACATATATATATATATATATATATATATATATATATATATATATATATATATATATATATATATATAGATATATAGGGGGGGGGGGGGGTGGGGGGCAGGAGCAGGAGGCAGCGCCTGACGTCAGGGTATACTCCTCTCCACAGCTCCTCAGAGGAGGAGAAGGAGGGACATGCGTGACAAGATGGACAAGATGGACAAGATGGACAAGATGGACAAGATGGACAAGATGGACATGCGTGACAAGATGGACAAGATGGACAAGATGGACAAGATGGACAAGATGGACAAGATGGACAAGATGGACAAGATGGACAAGATGGTGGTGCTTGTTACCCGTGGTGCAGCGAATGTGTTGGAGCCTGGGTGTGTAGCTGCCGACATAGACGTCCCTCTGGGTGTCCCTGGCGCGGGGCCTGCCCGCCTCAAGAGAGCCAACTCCCTCGTCCGGCTGCCTGTGCATGGGGCCGGCAAGGGCAAGGTGGACAAGGGGGGCAAGGTGGACAAGGGGGGCAAGGTGGACAAGGGGGGCAAGGCGGGCAAGGCGGGCAAGGCGGGCAAGGCGGGCAAGGTGGGCAAGACGGGCAAGGCGGGGAAGAAGACGGCGGGTGTTGGGAATACGTCCGCTTCTCATGTTTCCAGCAAGAAGAAGAGTTTGGCTGGACAGGGATCAAGGTTTGGGAAGAGTGCAGCCAAGGGCAACGGGACGGGCAAGCAGATCGAGGCCAAGGTCGAGGTCGAGGCTGAGGTCGTGGTCGAGGCCGAGGCTGAGGTGGAAGCAAGCACAGGCCCTGGTGCTGCAAAGCTTGGTGAGACCATTGGCCAAGCTAAGAGCAAGGGCAAGAGCAAGGGCAAGAGCAAGGGCAAGAGCAAGGGAAAGGGCAAGGGCAAGAGCAAGGGAAAGGGCAAGGGAAAGGGCAAGAGCAATAAGCTGCTAGCAACAGCACAAGGAGGGGAATCACTTGCTGGGATGCCTCGCGAGGCGGCAGTGCTGGCGACGTCAGCAGGGGAAGGAGTGACGATGACGACGGGGACGCAGACGCTGCGACTGCGACCCGTGCGACAGCCATGGGGCGTGCGATACATGCCAATGGCTTTGGGCCCCGAGGTCGAGCCGACGCTGAGCCGGCGCGAACTGGACGAGATTCAGAAACTTGTGGAGGAGTGCGAGCCGAGACAGACGACACTCCTTGTGGCGGCCATGCTCCGTCATCCTTTGAGTCGAAAGGCGCTCGCGTGTCCGACGCTCAGCCTCCATGAGCCGGTCTCTACTGCTGATTTGGTCCTTCTCCGCGAGAACCTACGGCTGCGGGCGGCGGATCAGAGGCGGCGCAAGCGGACGGCGTCACGGGCCGAGATCTCGCACTCGTCGCCGCCTAAGAAGGCGTGAAGCTGCAGAGTGGCCATGGGGCGTTTCAGGCGACGTTTCCATTGGGAGCGCTGGCGCCGCTGGTCTCTCTGCGGCAAGAGGTAGAGACGGCGTGCAGCCTATCGCGGGCGTCGGACGCGGCGCTGAGAGCGTCAACGGAGGGCATTGTCTCGGCGGTGACCGAGCTTGATGCCGAGGTGCGGGCGATTGCAATGTCTATGTCGTAGGCGGCACAGGGCGACACAAGACGTGTTTGCATTTAACACGTGGCGCGGCAGCAGCTATGAGTGCTTGCCGAGCTCAAGCTTCTTGGAGAGCGAACGCATGCCGTTGTAGATAAAGGCGTCGACAAGGCCTGCAACGGTAAAGACACCACCGACGATGGCACAGACGCCGACCAGAAAGTGGGCAAACGACTTGGTGTCCTCGGCGAGGCGGACCACCATAGGCGAGACGTCGTACATGAAGAAGACGCCGGGGAGGCCGTGGATGTTGCGGCCGAGGCCGAGGACTTTCTGGTGCTCGGTGACCGAGAACTGGTTGGTGGAGATGACCAGGCCGTCAGCGCGGGTGTAGGTGGTGGGGACAATCTTGAGAAAATACTGGTACATGGCCGAGACAGCCTTCTCGTTGGACTGGACAGCACCGTCGAGCGGGTTGCGGATGCCCGGGTACGGCTTGCCGAACGAGAGCTGCTCGATGGTGTGCGAGAGGTTCCAAAAGTTCTTGTGGAACGGCTGCAGGTCGTGGACATGCATATGCTGCTGCTGGAACGACTTGCCAGGCGCAATGTGGAAGTTGCCGGCCACCTTGTTGACAATCAGATGCCCAGAGACGGAGCAGCCCTCCTTTGCCTGGGCCTTGAGCTGGTCGGCCCAGCCCTCACGCACGCACTGCACAATGCCGTCGTGGTGCTGGAAAGCCCATCCCTTGAGGCGGTATGCCTCGCGGACCTCGGCACAGGTGTTACAGCACTGGCCCGGGCGCGACTCCGCGCCGTAGCACGACTCGCAGCGGGACGGATCCAGCTCGGACGCTCCCTTGGCCTTGGCGGCAGCATCAGCAGCCTCTTCGGGACTCAGCCCGGGCTTGTTCCGAGCCAGATCGTCCTTCTCAAAGCCCGAAATGGCGTTACCCTCGAGATCCAACCGTTTCTTGAAATGGTGTGATCTAGATCCAGCTGCAGCTCACCCGAAATGTCCATAGCATCCAGCGAGAGATCTATGTCGAGCCGTACGCCATTGGACCGAGCCGTCATACCGTACGTCGATGTGGTACGTGTTGGTGGGAGTGGTGAAGCGGAGTCGGTGCAGCAAGGCGGATACGGATATTGTTGCTGTGAGTTGACCGAGTGGACGAGGGAGAGGGAGAGGGAGAGGGAGGGGGGGGGTATGGGGACAGTTGACAGGTGCGGGAGAGAAGAAGGAAGGACACGTACATGAGCAAGGGAGGGCATGGAAGGTGATGTCGAGGTTGATACGGAGCTTCTCCCCAAAGGACGAGTCAACATATAGCTCTGCCCGTGTCTCGCCATGGAGGTAGAGGGCGAACTCGGAGACGAGGAGGAAGAAGATGAAGGAGCCTGCAATGACGGTGACGAGACCTCCAGAGAGTGTCTTGACGCGAAAGTCCTCAAGCGTCTTGGGGTACGCATCAAAGGTCTTGAGTGCGTTGAACATGGCCCTCCTCAATCCCTATCCTCTGGTTGGGGTGGTGTGGTGCGAGAGAGAGCTGTTGCCCGTATCCAGCCGGCGCCCGACCAGCAAGTCGCCGATGGTGGCCGGTGGCCGGTGACTGGTGGCGGTCAGCTGAAGGATGTGACGGAGTGGGAGTGAGGATGGTAGGGTGATCGGGGTGATCGGGGTGAATAGGGTGATCGAGATCTGTGCGAGTGGAGGGGGAGAGGGGATGGGCGAGTGGTGAATGGCGGCGGGAGGCTGCTGTCAGCCGGCGTGTGGGTGTGTGTCTGGTGGGGGGGGGGGTGAGGTGATCGGGGTGATCGGGGTGATTAGGGTGATCGAGGTCTGTGCGAGTGGAGGGGGAGAGAGGATGGGCAAGTGGTGGGCTAGTGGTGGACAGCGGTTGGTTGCCGGGTGGGTGGGCTTTGGCGCTGGCTCCGGCACTGGCGCTGGCTCGATTGGCTGGTGTGAGTGGGTGGTGTAGTCGGGGCGTGACGGTGGCAGTGGCTGCGCGCCACCTGACTCTGGGCGACCTTCCATTCCATGCCTGCGGGGGTATACGCTGTGACGTGTACGAAGTGCGGGAATAAGTAGAGGATGTGAAGGAGGTGCATACGAGGGGCGTGACTCATGGTGCAGGTGTGTGTGGGGGAAAATGCCCATAGGCAAGTGCGGTGCTCTGTACGCCTCACCCGACACGCCCATGGCGTGCATCAGTTGCGGACAGGCGCGCAAGTCATACTCTGGCATGTCATCGACTGTGTATGCTGTGCTGGATGCGATGGCAAGTGATGATGGAGGCGTTGTCGATGCTGATGTGGTGTTGGATACTGCTGTGCTTGTCGATGTCGCCGAACTGTGGTCGCAAGGAAGAGTGGCCAGCGAGGCAAAGGCTCTTGCTGCTCGTGTTTGGTCCATGCTGGATGACCTCGTGATGTCGACTGCGCCTGAAAAGCCTGCTTCATCGACGCCTGCTGAAGCTACCAGCCAGACTAGCGCAGGGGCAGGCGTAGAGGCAGGCGCAGAGGCTGGTGTTGAGCCTGCGAATGCAGGCAGCGAGCCCGAGACAGCAGGCGGTGGAGATGATGGAGCTGGGGACGAGCTACGGGCGTCGCTGGCAGCCATGGGGTACAGTGCAGCAGAAATTGCTTTTGCCATGGGCAAGGGCGCGCAGAATGTACGCCAGGCGATCTCGTTTCTCGACGAGCTTGCCACGCCAGCCACCATTGACATGACCCAGCTTCGCAGCATGGGCTTTGAAGAATCCTCGATCAACGACGCCATCGCAGCATGCGGCAATGACCAGTCCGCCGTCATGGAGTGGTTGCTCGCACGTATGTAGCTATGCCAGACTGCCCTCTTCCGGTTGCTCCTCGCAGCTCGAGCTGCGGCAAAGTCTTCCCCTTTTGGGGTAGGTAGCAGATAGCCTCAACCCGACCCGATTCGTATGCTCGAACTGCGCAATCCATTACAAGCCCGCGCCTCACCTCTATCACTGCAATCTACTGTTAGTATCTGTTGTATATGGCTTTGTCCAAAGTACCAGACTGGTGAGGGCTAGAGCCATCGGGTGTGAGCGGCGGGCGACGGTCGAGAGTGTGTCAAGCACGCCTGTGCGCCTGTGCGACGGACACTCGACTTGTGACAGCAGACAGAGATGGCGGACAACCCGTTTGACGATCCGTTTGCTGCCAGCGGAGGCGATGGAGACAATCCCTTTGCCTCTACCACACCAGCCTTTGAAGATGACAACCCGTTTGCCACACCTGCCCCTGTACGTCCACGATGACCATGATGATGATGATGATGATGATGATGACATGGCGGAGGAGGGGGGTGAGGGGACGGGGAGGGAAGGGGTCACACATGCGGCTTGGCCACCTTCACCGCCTCTGTCGTCCATTGTTTGCCCAGCACATGCTGATTTCCATCACATGTACCTGATTGGGTGGTTGTATGTGGGGGGGTATGGGTATAGGTATGGGTATGGGTATCAGGTGGTGGGTTTGGTGGATGTGGTCCCCTCTCCCTCCCCTCCCCTTCCTCCCACTGGGCCCAGTGTCTGTGACTTGTGGGCGAGGGGAGGAAGGGGGGAGGGGGGGAGGGGGGAAGGGGGGCCTGCTTCCTACCTAAGAGCACCCCG